CTGTTCTACAGTCAGCTCCTGGCCTTGTTTTGGCTGAAGATATTGTGCATCTCCATTGCCTCTTGCCCCAGATGTAGTCAATCTGATTCTTATGTTCTCTGTCTTGTGAAGTCCATGTGCATAGCTGCCATTTGTGTTGTTGAAAAAGGTATTTTCAATGAATAAGTCATTGATGTTGCAAAATTCTATCATGCGATCTCCAGTGTCATTTCTATCACCAAGGCCATATTTTCCAGCTACCAATGATTCTTCTTTGTTTCCAACTCTTGCATTCCAATCACCAGTGGTAATCAATACATCTTGATTGCATGTTTGGTCAATTTCAGACTGCAGAAGTTGGTAAAAATCTTCTCTATCTTCATCTTTGGCTTTGGTGGTTGGTGAATAAATTTGAATAATAGTAGTATTAACTGGTCTTCCTCACAGGCATATGGATATTATCCTATCACTGATAACATTGTACTTCAGGATAGATCTTGATACATTCTTTGTGATGATGTAAGCCACATAGTTCTTCAATTTGTCATTGCCAGCATAGTAGATCATATGATCATCTGTTTCAAAATGGCCAAAACTAGTCCATTTCAGCTCACTATTCTTAGGATACAGATCTTTATGAATTCCATTTCATTTTTGACAACTTCCAAATTTCCTAGATTTATACTTCGTACATTCCATGTTCCGGTTATTAATGGATGTTTACAGCTGTTTCTTATCATCTAGGGATGCACTTCATCAGCAAATGGAGGTTCTGAAAGCTTTACTCTATCCACACCATTAAGATCAGTTCTACTCTGAGGCAGCAGTTCTTCTCCAGTCATAGTTTGAGTGCCTTCTGACCTGAGGGACTCTTCTTCCAGCACTATATCACACAGTGTTTCGGGGCTATTATAAAGCTTTCCAGTAATGCATTAGACAGTGTTTCACTGCTATTCATAAGGTTTTCACTGGCCAATTGTTTGAGAAGTGGATGGCCTCTCTCTTCTTCCAAGGCTGTCTTATTCTGGAAGCGCTGCTGCAACCCATCCATTATGGGTAACCCTGCTGGCATTTGAAACACTGGTGGCACACCAGCCTCACAGCAACACTAATGCTACCACAGAACAACAAACTGACAGACATCTTTGTCTTTCTTAGTTGTTCCAAACTGCTCCACTCATTTCCTGGTCTCCCTCACCCTGCTGGCTTAGCCATAAAACCTGTCCCCAGGGTGCACACACCTGCCTTCCACTGCTTCCAGGCTGGTTTACTGCGGCTTGCCTCCACACACACAAATCCCCACGTTTTGCTATTCCTACAGCTGACTTACCACAACCTGCCTCCACGTACGCAAACTCCCACCTTCCATTGCTCCTGGGCCTGGCTTACCACTGCCTACCTCTATGCACACAAACTCCTGCCTTCCGCTGGTCTCCGGGCTGGCTTATTGTGGTCTGCCTCCACACACATTATTATTAGTGGTAGTAGTATAAGATTTTTCATTGTCTTGTGTGCCCACAGTTTTAGACTTTCATGAAAGAGCCCACATTATAGTATAGAAGACAGAACTATACAACACTGAACTAGAGAGTAAAAACAGGAAATATACCTGAGAGCTACAAGAAATCAGAACACCAAGATACTACCAAAATGTACAGGAGCAAAGGAAAGTTCATGCTAGATCATATAGAAACTTAGAAAACTCTGTATTTAAATGAAGGTGACTTATATTAGTAGAGACTATTTTTATATATAGGAGATATTATTTCCCCAAGTATATGCAAGCAAGTTTTACTGTACAACTTCAAAAATACAAATATTTGTATTTCATGAAATTGGAATCTAAGTCTATAAGCTAGACATACATTATTTTTTTTCTCTTTAAATTTTAGTTGTAAAAAATATATGTATATGTAAATATATATTGTTTGTTTGTTTGTTTGTTTTTCCATGAACCTGATCTCCAGAGATACAATGGCTTCATTAAACCATGATGCTCTTTGTACAACTAATTTTGAGAGTTTCAGAATCTTAACTATCCTGATAAGAAGTAACCCAAAGGGACAATGAGTACCAGCAGAACTACACAGACTTTGGAAAGCTGAAATATTACATGAAGTAAAGGAACTTTATTACCAAATAATAAAAGATAAAAAATAAATAAAAAACTCACCAAAGAATGTTGTTGCTGTTATGTGTCGTCAAGTCGGCCCCGACTCATAGCGACCCCTCCTTGGGTTTCCGAGGCAGTATCACTACGGAAGTAGGAT